GAATAACAGGGCTCATGTTTGGGGAGATGTCGTGTATTTTGACTTTAGTAAGGACTCTGGCACCGTTTCACACGGGCACACGCATAAAGAAAACATGAAAACACATGTTTAGAAGATGCTACTATAGGTCAGATAAAAAAAACCGCTGGCAAGCTATATTCACTGAGCTGATTTCAGCTATTCATTGTCAAAATGGATAAATGTATGAATAGGCCTTCCTGGGACATGTGCTGTCTCTTTTTTTAATGATCAATTTGATAGAATAATACTACAAATTACATTTGTGGCTATGAGATGCTATTGGAGCACAGGATGACAATTCAAAAGGAGCCTGACAAATCAAAGAAACAATTTAAAAGGATGCAGTCCAGTAAGTTTAAAGACAAGGTCCTTTAGTCAAATAAAGCAGAGGATGAGAAACAGCTGACTAGATAGCAATTCTTCAGAAAAGACTGAAATGCATATACATACATATATATGCGCGCGCGCACACACACACACATATGTATAGTGGCTAATACATTTAAAGAGCTAATGCTGTCCTCCTCTTTGAAAACAATCAGGTATCCCACATGCAAACAGAAGAACAGCTCCTAAGACCAAGTTCTTTTCTGCCCGTTACTAGAAGAGTCTCAACTGTGATGCTGGGTCCACTTTGAGGAAGACAGATAGGAGAGCAACAATAAAGTCAGAGGTTCAGAATAAACAAGACGTACAGCAAAAGCCTGAAATAGTTGTATTACTAAGTCTAAGAAAAGAAAAAAAAAGATTTGCAGTCTGAATGATAGTCTGAATAGGTAGAAGTTCTTGGAAGAAGTATTTTCTCTATATGAATAAGAATAAATATGTAAGGAGTGATTGCAGCAAAAAAGAAGCAAGTTAAATGCTAAGAAAAGAATTCTGACGATAAGGCTTATGAGTCCCAGTAGCAGATCTGCCTAAATTTGTAAAGGACAGGTTGGACAAACATCAGTCCAAAATGCTTTTGGAGTGGTTAAATCTTTCTGGAGAAAAAAAAAATAAACTAGATTAGGTGATCTGCCAATACTCCCTCCGGCCCTACTTTTTCTGTTTCTGTCATTACAAAGTAAAATGCAATCCCTCAGCCTAGGAACTGTCCACACACTGAAGAGTTGCCACTTCACGTTCAAAGTGAGAGCAGGGGCTGAAAGGCATGCACGCCATGCGCATGCAAACACAGCTGCTCACCCCTTTTTTCCAGCTTCCACTCGTGTTCCTCTCCCCGCTTTGGCTCCTCGCCGCCCATTGCCTCGCACAGGGCAAGGGCAAAAGACAGCAGCTTTCTGCAAGACCAGTTCTCCAAACAACCCTGACATGCAGCACCACCACAGCTGTGACCACTGCAAGGCTGGAAGTACATGGACCCAAGAGATACTTTGCTATTAGACTGGAGTCCTTAAATACACAACAGCCAACCTGATGAGGCAGGGCACACGTGAGCTTCAAGGGGCAGCACCTCCACAAGCCACTTGCCAAAGAGAGGAAAATAAAAGCCCTCAACACTGTCCTAAGTGACTTTTTATTCCATACACCTCCACAGTAAATTACACTAATTAATACGAACTCAACATGGTTCTGGGCTCTTCTACAGCATGCAGCTATTTCAGACCCCTTGCTCTGTTCTTAATTATTTCTGGGCTTCGCCAGAAATTGTCCACAGAAACATTTCTGCATTGCAAAATGCCTGTTCCTCAAAGTAAAATGCTGCTATGTTATATACTTTCAAAAACAATTAATTTAGGAAGAAAAAAACCCTTCATTTGATCAAAGAGCATGGTGAAATATTTTTTGAATTTCAGGTTTTAATTTGAGAAGAAGGAAAAAGACTTCACGTAAATTTAATCAAGCTGTTTTGTAAAGAATAAAGGCAATTTCCGGCAGATGTGTCCGTGTAGGAATTTCATATCTTTGAGATTTAAAATCATCGAATTTGGTCTAAATTGACCAATGTATTCAAGAGTTATTGAAAAGTAAACAGGGAGACTGCAAAAGAGAGACCTCTCTAAGGAATCAGCATAAAATTTAAAAATGTAAGAGTTTAAATAATGACTATTGCAGTAACATATTTCTTCTGTTAAATCAAAAATGTAAAGAATTTTTCCTACAGTTGGTCAGAGATTTGTCTTTGATAAAAAGTATCAGACAAACCACTTATTTATCAAGTATGCCACTGCCCACCTGGCTTGTCAGCTTGAGTTAAGTACCATTATAAAACACGAATATATGCAGCAAGAGATCAAGAGCTCAGTGCTTCCTAAAGTAATGAAACCAGATTATGGAACTTAAATAAAACGTAACTGTTGGGGTAGTGGGTGCCCAGTGGGAGAGTGTTTAGGGTAGCTTGGTCACAGAGCTCTGCTGACTGGTGGCTATCAGAGGCATCAGGTACTATGAAAGAAGAAAAGAAATGCTCCTGTTTTAGATTATTTCAGTTGAAACTTCTGTAGCATTATGATTTTTGCACAGTGCCATAGCATGTCTGTTGCTATACAATCATATTTAAAGTGGAAATTACAGGTAGTTAATTAAAGAAAAAAATAGAAAAGATCCCTGAGTATCTAAAATTTCAATTAATACTGTTTATTAAAAGCACATATAAAGTTGTACTATATTTGTACTTACAAATCATAACCTTTAATTACAAAGGGATAACATTATGCAAATTAAATACCTAACATCCCACAAATCGATGGAAGTTAGAGTTGCAGCAAGAGGGCTCACACTCCCAAAGGATATTGCAGTAACAGGGCTCAAATATTCAAAAACATGCTGGTGACTTCTATTTCTGACAAAATCAGAACTAAGCAGAAACAGCTATTTTTATTTGCCTTTTCAAAAAAAAAAAAAGTGATTGAACAGAGATGCCTACAGAAAGCTATTAAGCTATTTCTGGGAAAAATTAAAACCCCAGACTACCATCTCTTTGAAGCAGAAACTGTCTCTTTACAACAGACATGTATAGGTCTATGTATAGTGCCATGAGATTCCAATTCAACACAAAGTTCTCCAAGGAAGGCTAGATCACACACACACACAAATCTAAATAATGGCAAATCGTAAAAGAGAAAGGAGCCACAACACTTTCCTATAAGCACTAATATAAGTTCTATTAATATTGCAATCAAGGAAAACAGTACTTAAAATAAGCCAGTAAATACAAAATTTTAGTATGTTAGAAATTTGCTTTTATGAAGGAGGACAATGGTTTATAACAAAAAAACATAGATTCATTCTAGCCAATAAAGCTACAAAATCTTAGCATGTGATCGGCTGCTCATAAAGCAGCCCATAGCCTCAAGGTCTTGTTCACCATGCAGGCAAGGCTGGCAAATATTCGTCAGGAAGAACTCCTCAGGACATGCCTACAGAGCTGCAAAGATGGGCTGCACTTGCAGGCTGTGAAACCAGTGTAAGAAGGCACCTACGAATGTTGGCTGCTTCACAGCAGTAAGGTATGTAGGGCTTTTGGCCTCGAAAGGAGAGCTTTGCTCTTCAGAATTTACAGGCTCTGCCCGAGTGATCTGTCTTGCTTCTCTCGCAGGCTTTTTGGAGTTTCTGCATTTACAAGCTCTGCAGAAGTAGTACAGAGTTTGCATTTTCTTTAAACTGATAGGCTGCAAAATATGTATAAAGTATCCACAAGGATTTTGACCCTCGACCAAAGCAATCTTTTTTTAAAGATGCTCATAAAATTCTGCTAGCAATTCCTTTCTCTGAATTAGCCAGTTCAAATGCTGACAGTTTGCTCACATCACCTACCTGCAGTCTCTACAGCCCTGTGATTTATCACTGAACAGTATCACTGAACAATTTTGAAACGCACGGCCACCATAAATGATTTTTTCAGCTCAATACAGATTTTCATGCTAATATTCATGCAGTTATGCTTCTTTAAGAGTCCTATAGAAGCAACTTTAGTTGACAGAATATACTGCTCCTCACTCCTCTTCAGGGCATTTTGGCTGATACAGGAGAAGGGGAGCACTATTTGGCCGTGATGTGCCCCTCTGTTCACCTATTTATGCTTTCACCAGCTTCCTCAGAACTCTCTTACTCTTGTGAGCTGTCTCATCCACGCTTTTGGTGAAGCTGCATGGCTGCTTTCTTCCTTGTTCTGGGAATCAGAAATTGATTTCTTATGTGGTGTGAAACTAGAAGGATATCAAGAGCACTTTCTGCTTTTCCTGTTCTATAATATAGACTTAGTTGGGTTCAACAGACATAGAGCTTCACTGTTTTTCTCAGGAAGTGATGAGTAAAAAAATTTGGGATTCACTGGAGAGACACGTAAGATAAAAGAGATGAGGACTGTGATGTGAATTTGGGTGTGGAGGGGTTAACATTGAATTAGGCCGAAGCAGGGCTATTCAGAGTTATTAGTCTGTTATATGGTTTAAGCCCTGTCGCTTGCACTGGAACCAATTAAAATGCCTAGTATGGGGGAGCAAGGATTAGGCACATAGCACCCTACCAAACTGTTAAATTAATAAAGTTGTAGCCTGCTTCTTTAATTCGTCCCATGTGTCTGTCCTTCTTTCACCTAAATGTCCTGCTCAAGTCATTACACATCTCATTACAGTGGCCTTAGTCTACATTAAAATGCAGTACTGGACTAACTTTATTGCTAGGTAGGATAGCGCTGTGAGTGAAGTGTCAGGAGCTATACACATAAGATTATAGTGGCATAGGATACAGTCTGCTTTAAGTGATGCGTGGGAATTCTCTCACTAATCCAGTCTCCTTTCAGCTGAGGGAGATTGTCAAGAAAAAATGTAATCATAATACTATCTTATAACTTTATGAATGAGTTCCACTTGTGTTGAAGAACAAGCACTGTATTCATTCAGTTATTTAAACTAGAACTGAAAATAACTACAGAAATGTTGTACTTTTATATTAATGTATATTAGTATTAATATTTCTTCATGCAAGATCCAAGCCATTTTAGGCAACTTCCTAATAAAAGAGGTTTTGCTTACCACTCGTATTGTCACCGATGATATTGGTTTTGCCATTCCAATACCAGAGCAGCAATGTTGCATCACGTGATCCTGAGAGAATGTAACAATTTCCTCCAATATAGGACTCAGAGCGAGCAAGGCAGGTTACAACATCCCAGTGTCCAAATACTACTTGCATCAGTTTACCTAAAACACATAAAATTGATTATGCTTTAACAGTACTGCTTTTATTAAGGCATATTAAATACATTATAAGGTATTCTAAACATATTTTCTTTCTAAAAGAATGTTCAAAGTGGAGCTACAGTTGAATAGTTAAGGAACTACAGAAGAGTACTCATTTTTTTTCTTGATTTTGTGCAAACTTTTTTGAAAATGCAGTAATCCATACAGAAGTAAAGACTGTATGTTAACTCAAACTGCAACAAAGCCAAAAGATTTGTTTTTATTCTATATATTTACATTCATTTTAGTCAGGGAAACATGATGGGATTTGCTCTTATGGCAGTTTAAGGAGGAAAGAAACAGTAAAATGCAAGTCTGACGATACGAAAAAGATGCAATCAGAATCAGAAGATGCACCCAAATAATTAGGATACAGATAATATGAGATGTATGATCATACAAGAGAAGCCTAGAAAATGAAACTTATCCAGATGTCTGATAATCTCCTTAAACAGAGAAAGTGCACAGATTTCAACCAGCATCCTTTTTTTTTTTTTTTAAGAATTTCTATAATGCCCAAAGAGCTCAGATACAGACCTGGCAGAAGAAATTCTTATCTATCGCATACAGCACAAACACCTGGATTCCTGACAGACCCATAAATGCTAAAATGAAAGGAACGTTCAGAAAAATTCAACTTTGGCTATGTGTTTAAAAACGTGCCAATCAAGTATATGCTTTTTTTGTGAGACTTTTTTAAGTCGTCAATTATTAAGTTTAGATCTGAAAAAGAATTTAACCACGTGATCTATCTTTCAGTTATGTGCCCCTCGGTGTTCAACTACCTGAGGTGAGTTATCCTGTTAGAACACAAGTTTATGCTATACATATCTCATTTATTTCTTTCAATTACAGTCTATGCCTATAGATTCTATTCTAGAAAGAAAACATTTTCCAAAGCTATTTGTATGGCAGTTATTAATGTAGTTGCACGGCCTTTTAATTCTACTTCATTGTCACAGAGCTAAGGTTCATGCAATTTCATCAAAACAAGAAATAAAATTTTGCCCTTTTATATTTGCAAGTATATGTATATTCTTGCTGAACTCATAAGCATTCCTCAACTTTTTTTCATTTGTTTCTTTTAATATGAGCGGTCTTCTTTATGCAGCAATATCAACCATTACCATATGCACTCAGATATCCCCTTCTGATGGAACAAATTTTCTAGTTAATGTTTTATTTGACAGCTGTGCTACAAATAATTAAGAGAAAAATCAGACTCAAGTTTCTGCACTACTGAATCTCAAAAGCTGTCTGAAAATCATTCCCAGTGCTGAAGGAAGGTTTATTGTGCTTCTGCTGTACTAGCTGTGCTGAGAACCTATGATTTATGTTTAAAGTATTTCCTGTTAAAAAAAAGGCAACCCAAAATCTAATAAGAAAAAGGTTCCTTTTTTTGTGTGTGAGTGCTAAAATATAATTGAATTCAACACTTGTGATAACTTGCCATTATGCATTACTGATCATATCATTTTTCCCTTGCTGTTTTCCCCATTGCTAAGTTATTTTGCTGCTATATTCTCAGGTTAATTCCGAACAAAATAAAAGGCAATTTACTTGAATTAAACTATAGTTGCGTTGCTAATACTTAATATTGCCAAACAAGAGGTACATGAAGACTCATAGCAACTTTTTTCACAAATATATTTTGCTTTAGATCACATTTAGGTATACTAGAATTAAGATGCCTGATGGTCTCTGATTTACATGCAGAGTAAGTAAGTTAATGAAATCTCTGAAGTTAAGACCGAACCAGGACAAAGCTAGCAATATAATACCAGCTTCCTACCATAGATATAAATAAAATGCTGCTTCTATTATTGAAAAGTTAACTATTTGCATAAATCAGGAATATACTATGATTTTTCATCACTGCTAGTCTACTCTTTAAAGATCTTCTTTTAATTGACAGCTTTCACGTGAGTTTATTTGCATCAGCAAGAAAATTAAGCTAAGAAGAGTCTAAAAAGATGCCTGTAAAATTAACTGTAATCAGCCAACAGAAAGTGGAACTTCATTTGCAGAAGAGCTTCTAAAATTGCAAAAAATTACAAATATATTGTACTGCCAAAATATGCCATGTGGTCTAGTCTTAACAGATTTTCATTAAAGACTATTCTGTTTTATAATATATTTTGGTTTGCCGAGTTTGAAAAACACTATTAACTAATATATTTAAGAAATGATGACAAACATGTAGCATATTCCCTAGGAATTAATAACCTACTGGAAAGCTTGATGGCGCACACACACACACACATTAACCATACTGGGTCATTAATCCCAAAGAAATACTTTGCATTGAGGTTGCTATTCCCATTATAAGATAATGAAAGGGAAAAATCATACCTATTTTTGTCTGAGGTTCCATAGTTTTTACATCCCCACAGCATTTATTTTGAAAGATTCTTTTCTATTTAGCATGACACATGCATGACGTCAACTGTTTGAATACATGCAAGCTGACAGAGTAATTTAACTGTTGCCCAATATATTGATCAACTTATGTTGTATGATATAATTCAGTAGTTCAATTTGGATATTATGCCATAGTTTTCAAAGGCCTTTGTAAGTATTCTTTCACCTGATTTCAAGACCTCGCTTTTTTTTTTTTTTAACTGAAGGTATCAGCTTTTCTACTTTCTATTATGCTTGCCTGTACTACTTTAAACAGATTTTTTTTCCCCCAGTGCTCAAAGTTGACAGGGTTAAATTTTAGTAAGTGCATGAAGAATAATTAATTCTCCTAGTACACAAAGCTTCACAAAAACTCTTTTGACAAATGTACTTGTGAAACTGCAGTGTAAGAACCAGCATGCCTCTCAAAATCATATGGTTTCTTAGGATGATGTTGTGTCTACACAACAGCTCCTTGTCTTACATTTTTTCCACAGAACTGATGGCATACAATACCAATAGAGAGAAAAATATTTGGCAAACATTATTAATATGGAATAAATACATACTCCACTTTCTACTGCCCATCCCGTGATTTTTCCTTATTTGATAATAGAGGCTTATGATAAACAGAGAATTCTTTAGGCTATTCTATTTTAATTTTTATTCTATTTCTATGAATTAGGCTATTTTAAACATGCATTTACCCGAATCAGTAGAATAAACTCGGAAACTCTTGTCCCAGAAGCCACAGACCAAGATGTAACGATTGTCAGAGGTGATGACGAAACACTGGGAATGCACCTGAATGCTTTGGTCTAAAAGGTCAGTGATTTGCCTTCTGTGCATACCTGTATTGCTGGCTGAAGAGGAAGACACATAAATGAAGATATTTAGCATCCATATGCACAAATTAAAACCACATATTACAACCCGTATTTTCGCAACAGAACTATTCCTTACTGCTGTTACTTGTTTTCTGTGGCAGTCACATTTTCTTTCTGCTTTTACTACAAAACACTCACTACACTTCTGAGAACAATGATAATTCCTCATAAGATATACTTTAAAACAGAAGAAATCCCTTCAAATAAAATATGATTGACAAATATAAAGAAAAAGTAGCAAAACTGAAGGATATATAAAAATGTAAACTGCTTCCTTCCCTCCAAAGTTCTTCCAGTCAAGAAAAATAAAAATTAATAAACAAAAGAAGAAATTTAACAGTAAGGCAGCATCTATAAATATATGTACAAGTACGGTGTTATACAGTGGCTTATATGTAGCAGACAACAAAATTATGATTTCATAACAGAAGACATTGTAGAGAAACTGTGTCTGCACAGAAAATTGCAGAGCTTGGGTCTCATTACAAGCATTGTAATTTAAAAATAATGACTACAGTAAATATTACCATCAGGACTTGTGGAGCACTTCACATTCTTCGAGCACTGCGCAAAAATTAGCTAGCTTATTTCCAGAATCTTCAGATTTGAGAAAAAAAAAATAGTTATCCCTTTTTTTTCTCCCTATAACCTTGCACTTGTACTGAATAAATGAGCACGGTTTCCTATTATATTGTCATTACTAACTAATGTACATACATGGGTCCATACAGATAATATCATGAAAATCCTATAGCTCAGGAGAACTTTAGCATCCCTTCTCCTAATGGAAACCCTGCTCTAGGAGCGTAAGTGCTTCTGAGCCTTTCTGCCCACTGCTTACAAGCCCTATTATTTCCATTCCTGCCAATCCCCGCACCCTTCCCTGTCCCGGTCTTCCTAGTCCTCTTCTTTATTCCTTGTTCTTTATCTTCCTTCCCTTTGCATAGGTTAACCAGCTCCTAAATGCTTAACTTATTTATGCTTTAGTTAGTTGATGCTGTCTTGTTCACATGGGTGGCAAATAATTTAGCAAGGCCCTGCCACATGTTCTTGAAGTAAACACATAAAGGGGCCTTGATCACCACTGGGGCCACTTAAATGATAACAGTGATACTTTATAAATGCGCCATGAAGCATATTGCATTACCATGGCAAAATAATGGCAAATACAAGCAAAGAAACCTTTGGAGTGACAAAATTAGTGTGAGTGAGGCCTTGAAAAAGCTTTGCCTAAAAAAAGACGTCCAGAATCTATGTCATATCAGACAGTGTTGTTTTATATTTTCTTGTGCAACTGGGAAATGACGACAGCATGAATCCCTCCTTACGACTAAGGCAGCAACAAGATTCCTGCCATAACCATAAAAGTGTAATTTTGTGGTCCTCTTAGGTGCCATTTCTAGGTAAATGTGTCTAGCCACAATTAAGAACCTTTAATATTAAGTACATAATTACTTGCTTGTACCCAATGATGCTACTTAACAGTGACAGAGAAACACTTAAACCTTTTTAGCTATGCCCAATGTAATCACAAGGCTGATTTGAGATCTGATAAAAAGAATATTAAACCATTATTCAGAACTGTGAATTGTTATTTATTATTTCATTTTAAATGTGTTTATACTGAACAAAAAAATACATTTTTAAGTTAATTGTTGCATGGTTGTAAATGGAACTATAACTCTGAAAATTATGAAAAATACAAATGAAAATGAAAGTTATGCTTCTTTTCTAATATCCTTTGAAAAAAAAAGGGAATGTGCCCAGACAGGCCCTTGTGATTTATGTTTTGCTGTGATATTTATCTCTATTTTTAAGACTGTTTGGTTTTAAAGTAGAATATGCATTTTCTGATCAAACATTATTTGGACCAAATGCACTTCCAGAAGAAAGGGAGAGTTACAGCATATGTCCTCCTCTCTATTAGTTGTAGGTATTGTATTATTCAGAGGGAACTGATTTCAAAAACTTCAGAAAAAAAGCATTTTATCAGCTCTAGAAAATGGTTTAACACACTCATACTATTACTGAATTAATTTCACAAGAGTTTACCCAGCAAAATGGCTACATAGCAACAGTCTATATCTATAGACAGATACTATACAGTTCCTGCTGTGAGGTGCATATTAGTTTTGAAATTTAATTCTCGATGGCTGACAGTTCTGTCATTCCAGCCTATCTGGACAAGTTCATTTTTGCTCTGATTTTTTGCATGCTTGAATAATTGGTCACTTCCTGTGGACTGCCATATGACATGTTTGCAGTTCTGTTTTTTTTTTTTTTCCTTTTTCTTTTTTAATCGCATTTAGGGTTCCACTTGCCATGTCATGCATCCCTAAATTATAGGCAACATTTGCACTCCCCAAAATATGGGTCTATAATGAAACAACTGACCAACCTCTATCATGCTAATAGAAATTACAGCTCTGTATAAACTAATAAACCTCTATAATAAAAAGTCATAAATTGAATCTGTTACACTGAGTCATTAAATACAAGTGAGACAGCCTCCACCCTTTTTTAATAAAGGAAAAACATATACAAATGTAACCAGTGATGGTGATCAAAAGATGCAGTATCCTTGAAAAACGAATACTAATATCTTAATACTAGAACTGAGTGGGCAATATATTTCAGCTCTGAAGCTGCTTTGCAATTACACATTAATCCCCTCAGCCTGAACAGCAGGTCTATGAAGAAAGGATTGATCTCCTTTAATGATGAAACCCTGGCACCATGGTTTTATTTTTCACAAGACGGTGCAGTTAAGAACCCCACTGTTATTATGAAAATTTCCTCAGCAAAGGAGCCCCATCACATTACCAGCGCACCAATTCATCATAACGTGCCTCGCTCCTGCTCATCAACAAGTCTGAGTGATGAAAAGATCCAATATTATCCTGACAGTACTTCATGCACATTCTCAATCACACATTATTACAGCATCCATATTAATTTTCACTGACACGCGTCCTAGGCCTGTTCAAATTAGGCAAACCAACGAGGGGGAGTTGATGAAATACCAGCATAGCCACAGCTCATTGCATTCCAATTTGCATGCAAATGGTTTATCAGGAAAATTCCATTCCCAGCAACCAGCAAGTGAAAAACAACCGTAATCTACACTTCAGGGCCACCATACAGAGCTTAATGAATCGCAAAGAGAGAAGGAAGTGACAGACCTATGAGAGGATCGATTTCCACTGGCAGCTGGTAAGGCTGGTCTTGTACAGCACCTTGATGAGCTGGAATTCAGGAGAGAAGATTTTAAAACTCTGCTGTTTTTTAGTACTCAGAGCATATAAATTGTATAAATCAAAGCTACGTCCATTTTTCTAACCATCCGAGATTCTTCTGCATCAATGGAATTAAAAATAAATAAATAAATAAATCCAGGTGCTTTCACAGGCTGCTTATTAAACATTTATTTTAGATTAGTGCTATTCTGAATGTATGCCATCAGCAGCAGCTCCTCAGCCATAAGCTCTAGCAGATGCTTTACTGGCAACCTCTCCTGTCGCAGCAAAACAAAATTAAGTGGTAAAGAGCACTGAAAACAAAATGTGACAACCATCTGCTGACTGTAGCAAATACTGTTTTCCCCTTTGCTTTTTAAAGCACTGCTTTGAACAAATGAAGCACAAAGGACTTGAAAAAAATGTCAGTTTATGATGGAGATAGGGAAATCTCCTAGTCATGCAGTATTTAATGTTTCATCCATCACCACAATTCATTTATTTGCAAGTTTGGATTAAAGTTAATATATAATTCTGTAGACCCATATTTCATCTGGGCACTGGCATGCCAGTGAAATGTTTACATTCTGAATTTTTCTTTGGTGTTAAAAAGAGTCTTTTTGTCACAGCTTCCCTGAAAAGAAACAACAAGAAACCCAAGCAAACAAACAAAAAACCCCGAAGTCCACAAGACTTTCTTGGAAGTAGAACTAAAAATAATGGTTAAATTCTAACGCCCAAGATTTCCACACCCACCCCTCAAGGCGTAGCTCAATAGAAATAGAAGGTTTCAGGAGTAATACAGAAGTCAGAGTTCTGCTGTAATGAAACGCTAACGCGTAACAAAACATTATGAAGTCCTCATGCCAAAAAAGAGCTACTCTGTTGGGTATCG